TATGTCCATTGATTTCCATTTCCAGTGGGGGATGTAATTGTTTCCGCTCAACCCACAGTTTGGCTGCAACTGTGTTTGAGTTTGCGTGTGGCTTGGCCTTAAATCCATTGTAAACTCATGTGGATTCAATTTACCGCATAAATAACTTCCTGTTTTGCTAACTTTTTATTTTATGTGTCAATGTAAGTATGCAGTGTGCCTGGTTTAAGCATATTTCAGAACTAAACAACTGGCCACTTTTAACACTTGAGTTGGAATTTGAATTGAATCGGCCATGCAACACAGGAAGTAGAATTTACTTAATTATAATTCAGAGAAATGTAATAATCAGATTATGTTAATGTGACAGAACCTTTACAACAAAACATACATGATTACATCATTAATTCACTAATTATGGTGATAATCTTTAAGTCTGTTAATAAAACATATTTGTTAAAACATTGTTACTAATTTCATTTAGCACTAAATATAAAATATATATATATATATATATATATTTTAGGATTTAAAAAATGTGAAATTAAGACATTTAGGTACAACACTATTTTAAGTGGTATGTACTAAAAAACATTTTTTAACCAGTTTTTTAAGCATAACTGATTTGTATGCCGATAATTTGTAATGCTTCTTTTTTATCTTAAGTTAAACTAATGGTCTCAACCCTTTGGACCCTATTATATTACAAATATTTAAGAAAATAATAATAACAATAATAAATAAATAAATAACCTCAATTCAAATTCAAAATTGGTGTGTGTGTGTGTGTGTGTGTGTGTGTGCCAGTGTTATTTTAGTATAATTACTATTATAGTTTTGTTAATATTTTGAATTATTTATATTTTTTCATTTTAATTTTACTTAAAGTTTTAGTAATTTTGTTTGTTTTTGTCATTTTTACGAGCTTTTTAAAATATGTGTTTATATATTTTTAAATGAAGTTTTACTTTTTAGTTTTAGTTTATTTAGTTTGAGTTATTTTAGTACTTCACTAAAACCAAAATGAAAAAATGTTGCACCTGAAATAAAACAAGTTTGATGTTTTTTTTTCATATTTTATTTTATTAGAAATTTGTTTTATTACAGTTACTTTTTATTTAATTTCAATTAATGAAAAGGTTTTTTTAATGGTTTTGGTTTTAGTTAACAATAACCCTGGTGTGTGTATGTGTATAAGAGACAGAGAGTAGAGGCTGTGCATGCGTGTGTGTGAGTGTGTGTGTGTGTGTGTGTGTGTTCTTTCCCTAACATCTTGTTCCTGCCCTTTCCAGCCCCATCAGAGGTCACTAAGACAAAGCGCTGCGGCCCAGCGGAGTTTCAGTGCCAGAACCAGCGTTGCATTCAGCTCTCGTGGAAGTGTGATGGGGATGATGACTGCTCAGACGGCAGCGATGAAGATCCACACCTCTGCTGTAGGTCTTCTCTCACTTTTGTAGTCCAACCACGAACCTACAGAGTAATGCCTATTTCATAATCTGTACACTGTAGAAAACCACAACCTGAAGGTGGATATTTTTACAATTATAATAAAAGGCCTTTTACTTGCTAAAAAGTACTATCAATCAGATCTCAGAAAGTATGTACTGCATCGTGTATAACAGGTTTTTTCAGCAAAGCTTTAATCATGTTGATAATTTAGAGGCATTAAAAATGAGCGTATCAAATGTTATACAGAAGGTTTTTTGTGCTAGTTGTAAGAATGAAAAAAACATATATTTTTTAAACATACACTCTAAAAAAGTTTGGGTTAAAAAGGGACAAACCCAGCTATTGGGTTGTTTTGACCCAGCGGTTGGGATAAATATCAATTAAAAACTAAAAATGTATATGATACGATATGATATATTGTGCTTCATATTTCATTCTAATTAAATGACGTATAAAACATTTAAGTATTGTTTATTCTTTTTTTTTTATTTTGAAGTACAAATATAGTGTAGTATATAGTACATAAAACCTAACTGAAACAAGATTTTATTTCAGGTTTTTATTTATTTAAAAGTAGGTTTTATGTGCTATTTGTAATAAAATAATAAAATGTAACCATTTAAATCAATATATATATATAATAGTATATTATTATGCTCAATATTTCTTGGTAATGAAATTTTGAATAGAACATTTTATTAGTGTTTATTGTTCAATACTTTTTTTTTCTTTTATAGTACAAATAGTACTATATTAGTTGATCATGTTGATCATTTGGCCTTACCGTATTAAATATGATACAGAAGACATTATAGAAGGTCGAGTTAAGCACATTGTATTGTGGGATACAATATATCGCATGGTACACTCAGTATGTTAATATGACAATCAGAGCATCTTGCGAAACTTTTGGACACCCAGATGCTTTCAGATGAATTTGTGTTACCAATTGACAGGCCGTTTGTTTCTCCTCAGCTAATCGCAGCTGCCCAGCGGACCAATTTAAATGCCTGAACAACCGCTGTATCCCGAAGAGATGGCTGTGTGACGGCACCGACGATTGCGGCAGCAACGAGGATGAGTCCAACCGCACCTGCTCAGGTGAGCTTCACTCTGGAGCCCTGTCCTACATGGACAGCCCCGTATATACGCCCAGCCATCCGGAACAACCTCGCCAACCAGCCCCGGCACTTGGAGACACTTTACTTGCTGTAGGCTATGCGCGTTCAAAGTTAGCGCCATCAGAGAATACTGTATGTTGCTTTGAGACGAGAGGAAGTCTTACATGACACCCCCCTGTATAATTTCCCGCCGGTACGGGCCCACGTCTCACACGTTCCCTCCGGTCGAAGCGGCTGCGCAGGAAACGAAACTAGGTTCGACCGCGTAATTCATCATGCACTTGGTGGGATTTACACATGACACACATCTGTTTCGGCCCAGTGAGCTCGAGTCCTTCGTGAGCGTTTCCGCATCTCGCTTTGGGTCGCCGGTTGCGAATGATTGATTCAGTCAAGTTTACACCTCCTGGATGGGACCGGCATCTAATTTACTTTTAGATTGAACCGTATCCTGCGGTCTAAATCTCTAGAAGACGTCATCTGCCGTACAAGCTGCCTCCTCCCTTGGGGGTTTTCCTGAGATCGGGATAAATACATAATCCAAAACATCAATATCGCAGTAAAGATGCTGTGTTTAAGCCACATTGTGTTGTTGGGGCCGTATCGTACCACTTGATAAAAGGGCTGGAGACAAATTTCACACATTTCGCCAACAGGCAACGGTCGATTTAATTTAGATAGCCTACAGACAAACTTCCCCTTTGTGGGTAATACAATTTTCTAATCTAATCTCTAAAAGAAGAATTTGGAGAAAATCAATGACAAGTGTTTGGGAGTGTAGGACGGGGGAATGAGAGTTCCAGCTTGTAATTTACAGTCGTCTTATCTGTCAGAGCAAGTTTTAGAATTGTATATAATTCAAGATATTTTTTTTTCCAGGTTTATTTATTTATTTATGTTTAATTGATTTAAAATTGGTTTCGTATGTTGTTTGTAAAAAAAGCAAACAAAAAAACCCAATAAAAATAATAAAATCTGTAAACATTAAATATATACTTTTTAATTAAAAACATTATTATATTATATTATATTATGCTTAATATATCATAGTAACACAAAACACAAATAGGGTATTTAAATAGTGTTTATATTCTTTTTAATATTCTTTTTAGTTTGAGAAAATATGGCCTATATAGTACATATAACCTATCATTTAAATTGATAAAAATACAATATTACACTAATATACTAATATTACGACTGTATATAATACAATATTTTATTTTATTACTTTTTGATTTAAGTTATAGCTGCCATATGCTATTTGTAATGAAAATGAATTTGTTTGTACAAAATAGTATGTAAAAATCTATAATTTAAATATATAACAATTATTTATAACTATAACATACAATAAATTAATAATTATAGCTAACATAATAAAAAAAATATTTTATAAATGATGTTATGTTATGTTATGTTATGTTATATTATACTTAATATTTACCGGTAATGAAATTATTAATTGTTTTTTTCTGTATATATATATATATACCAAGATAATACCAGTTTAAATAGCTGGAACGGTTATAATAAAAGTGTTGTAACTACTTTATCTTAAATGTAATGTAATGTATGTATATATATATATATATATATATATAATTATATATACACACACACACACACATATACATACATACATAATAGGTTATCATATTATTTTTCCTGTTAATAAGATGAAGAATTTTATTTTTGTTTATTTTTTGTGGCTTTGTGGCAAAAAAAAGCCACTTTACATTCACATCAAGATTTAAAAATCATTTTTTCATAAGAACTGCTAATTAACATT